TGGTTACACTTTATTTCGATAGTCCACTTTAGACATTCTATTAACTATAAGTAACTTTGTAACTACATGTCAACTACATGTCAACTAATTCTCAGAGTAGACTGTTAGGGTAGGTTTAGGGTTAGTAGAATAAGTTGACAAAGAAAATGTTAGAAGATATTAAGCAGACAGTCTACTAATACTAACTGCTAGTTGACATGTAGTTGCAAAGTTACTTACTGTTAATAGAATGTCTAAAGTGGACTATCGAAATAAAGTGTTACCGTTTTGTTTTGTTTTGTTTTGAAGTTTATTCATGAAGAGCTTTATTTATGCTAAATGCACATTGTGATGTTCATTATTTTCCACCACAGAGCAGCGATGTGGCCACTGTTATTGTTGCAGCCACTCAGGTGGTCTTCACTGCTATTGCTGCTATTATCATGGACAAGGCTGGGCGGAAAGCTCTCCTCATCTTGTCTGGTAAAAAACATCATTAATAAATTAATATATTTGCACCAGTTTTTGGAAGAAAAAAAAAGACAAAAAATGGATTGTCCTTAATTTTGTGTTCCCCACAAGGTGTCACCATGTGTGTTAGTGAAGCAGTGTTTGGAGTATATTTCAAGTTGACTGTGAAGCATAATAACTCCTCACTGATGAGTGTACTAACAGACGCCCAGGGTTCTCTGGCAGAGCAGCCTCCTACAGACCTGGCCTGGCTGGCTGTGGGAAGCATGGGCCTTTTTATTGCAGGTTAGAAGAAATGTATTTTACTGAAACTTACCAAGTATTTAGCAGCTGTACTAAGATTTGCTGCTCTGTGTGGTCAAGTCACATTTATTCATATAGCACTTTATACAATACAGATTGTTAAAAAAGCAGCTTCACAGAAATAAACAGGAAAATAAGGGTGAATGTAAAATTCATCAATTATGAAACGAGTTATAAGCAGTTCTACAGAAGACAATAGTATGATTAGCCAGCTAAATTCACTTGAAATATACATGACTATAAAGATAAAATGTTCAGCTTATTCTAGCCTAGAAGCACATACATAGATAGTAAGAGTTTAATCGACATGTAAGGTGGCCTGCTGCAATTCATTTTGTTTGTACGCACCGTTTAGGAACAAGTTCATCTGAAACCGTTGATAAAATAGATTTGTAATCAGAATTCATGTCCATCCAAATTCCAATTATTTTACAGATGCAAAGTGACTTAGAAAGAAAGCAAAATATACAGCGGTCTAGCTTCCTTTATGTAGCTGCACTTGAGATTTTGTCCAGTTCATATTTTTGTTGAAACGTCTAGTTCAGTCATGAAACTCTTGATGGCGCAGGCTGATTGGCCACATCATTTGCTGCTTGGCACAAGCTGATTGGTCTGAAACCCTCCACCTCCCCCAGCTCCACCTGTCTAGATGTGCTACCAGATTTATATATGCCTATTCATGCAGCAGCTGCAGCATATCTTACATTGCTCACAACAGCTTGTCTATGCATTTATTGGCAGTAGCAAGTCAATACTTGCTCTGCAGCAACAGCAGCAGCATGTTCAGCAGATCTATTCCACCAAGACTAAATATATTAACATTGTCATATCGATCAAAAAATCAATCAAATCCGAGATTTGTTATAATTGAAATATTTGAATGGACTGCAGTTAGTCTGAATATCATAAATATGTGTTAATCAGGTTTTGCTCTTGGTTGGGGTCCTACTCCTTGGCTGGTGATGTCTGAGATCTTTCCCACGCGAGTGAGGGGATTGGGCAGTGCTCTGTGTGTGCTTACCAACTGGACCTGTGCCTTCATTGTCACCAAGACCTTCCAGAACCTCATGGTGAGCTGAAGGTCATGTATTTTCCACAGAAACATTCTAGGTTTAACAAACGGGTCTAATAAAGGATCAATAATGTTTATTTTTAGGATGCCATAACCAGCGCAGGGACATTCTGGATGTTCTCAGGACTGTGTGCTCTCAGTGTCATCTTCACTGCTATTTTTGTCCCTGAGACCAAAGGCAAAACTCTGGAGGAGATTCAAGCCCGTTTTAAGGGGACTCATCAGCACTAGACAAGTTTTCTCCTTAGTGCCAAGTTGCCAACACCAACATTTTGAAAAAACAAACTAGTTGCAATGACATGTTAGAAGCATCTCATTATGTTTTAAAATAATGTAAAAGTTTACATATCAATTATGTGTGTTTGATACTTTCTTAATGTGATTTGTCATTGAATTAGCATAAATAGCGGCTGATGTGATATATTTTCAAGCAGTCTTCAAGAATGTTTAATATGACTGTTTTAATACTGTTATAGTTGATACTAAAAATGAGAGATGATGTAAAAAAAAAAAATCATTTTAACTTGTTTGCAGGTCATATAAAGGATGTTTTTGGAAAAAGGTCTGAATATAATGTGCATGAACAACTTCATTTGACACATTTCTCAGCAATTTTCTTCTGCATCAAGACTGTAGCTTGGGTTACATTTTAATTAGAAGCTCAGTCAATCGCAAAAAGAATATTATAGGAAATGTTGAATTTAAAATGAATCTTGTCTTTATATTCTGATGGTATACTGTTATAAATGTAAACTAAGCTGTTTAATGAACTGCATTGGTGACTGCATACTTATTTTCTGACCTCACCTGCCATAACCTGCTCACTTTTTGTTTGTGTTTAACAAAGTAGTTGAAACAAATATGATAATACAAATTTATTTAACATACATGGTTAGTGAAGAACACTATTGTTGACTTCATTCAGAAAGTGAGCAAAATTAAACTGAAGTCTCAAAAGTGAAGTCGTATGTTGTTTTGATTGAATTGTGGAATTGAGTCAGTAAAGTATAATGCATTGTTCTGTAATAATGACAAGGATGATAAAGTATGTGCCAAATGAAGTGATGTGCCAAATAAGGTTTTTTATTAAATTATTTTTGCTGATGAATACAGATAAAATGAACAATCCAAACATTCTAAATATTTGTCAAGTGACTATTATTTTTCCTAATAAATTCATTTTATTAAAATTGGTGCCATCTGTTACTAGATAATGGTTATAAATAATATAAATAACCAGTTGCTTTTTTTTTATTTCAAATTCTCAATGGAAATGGAAATGAATAATGGCGTACTATGGCAGAAGTAATCTGCAAATGGTAAAATTAAGAGGAAAATGTGGGTCTATTGAGCTACAAAACAACTGCAGTATGTAAAAGGCAGTAATGGCATGCTAGTTTGCAGAAAACAAATGGTAAAAAAAAATTAATAACATTGCATATATTGTCGTCAAATTATCTTTTTAAGTGAGGGACAATATTTTCCCCCTCTAATTTCAGGGGCCCTTTTTTACCTTGGGCATAACCATACAAAAATGCACAGTGCTGTCCATTTATGTAAAATACTAGTAGTAGCACAAACGTAGGAGCACATGGCCAACAAAAACAAAGACACAACCATGTGTTCAGGCACAAGATAAACAAAGAAACATTGAACAAAGACAAGACAGACAAGGCTGTCAGGGCAGGATCCTGACAGTAGCTGTACTAGAAAAGCATAGAATGATGAATGATTAAATATATATATAATATACGGTATTATAACGGTATTTGCTTAAAAAAAAAAAAAGGATTTTGTTTAGGGATTTTTAGGCAGTTATAGGACTACTCCATGCTATAGCCAGACCTCATTACGTGTACTGTGATGTTTTTCAGTAATGAACCATCATAGTTTATGTGGTCTCATTACTAGAAGCTTCCAGCTATTGTTTGAAGTGATCAGTGTGTGTTATCTTTTGAAGCATGTGCATAAAGTTAGTATGCACTGCCTGAGAAAGTGGCCCATCAGAGACTTATTATGAGGTCTCTTCAGAAGTATTCAGTCATTATATCATCTCTATTTCATTTAAATTTTCAGGCATAAGTGTACACTGGAGTAATGGTGATTTTTGTAGAGACTGCTGTCGTAACATTTGTGTTGGGCCAGTTTAAGTCAAAGTCCAGGGTCATCTTACACTCACAGTTTGTAGAGGAACATTTAAAGCAGAGTTGTTCAGAGTTGTTAAAAAGCATAATGTGGAAAGTGTCACATGTGCAATGTCTTTAACTGTCTGTTTTTGTTTGTAATGTCTCTTTGACTAGTGCATCTTTGAGCCTATATTTAGTATAAGTAAAATACTTAAGTACTGTTAAAATCAGATACTCTAAGACTTCTACTCAAGTTGTTTTGGAATTGGTGACTTGTAACGTGTAGTGGAGTAATTTTCACTGTAAGGTATCTGTACTTTTACTCAAGTATGTTTTTTAGGTACTCTTTACACCTCTGGTAATTATGCACTGGTGGAATGTCTGACAAATGTGTTTTGTAATCACCTTGAATCTCTGTGTATTATATAATTCTTCAGTAATTTCATGTCAAATTCTCTAACATACAAAAATGCATTGCTGTTTTAAAAGTCTGTACTGCTGGTCTGCAGTTAACTGACGGTACACATGCATTGTGTGTTAGGGGCCGGGCTCCTGCCCTCCACAAACATTCCCTTGTTGTTGGCAAATATAAACCCAGCAGTTTCCCACCGCTTCTCTGATATGTCATTAGTTTTGCGTTCCTCACTTTTCCAAACAGCATAAGAGGTGTTTGAACTTTCAGCATGACTCTGGCATTAGCACTTTTGCTTTGTATGTTTTTGGGGACACATGGTTTCAACACACAGCTTGTTATTGAACCTCAGCCCAACTTTGATACGGAGAAAGTGAGTATGAGTTTTCAGTTGTTTGGGTTGTGCTTTTGTAGATTTTAGGGGTAAGTAGTTTAAGCATTGAATGCATGTTTTTCATTTAATAGCAGAGGCATTCTAAGTGAATCTGTTTGTTTATATAGCATTTGTTCAAAAGTTCAAATTCAAAAGCAAACAGTGAAGAGGCGGATATCAGTGTCACATATCACAATAGTTTACTTAAAGAACGGATCATGGTTCATCAGCTTTTATTTCTGTACAAGAATGAGAATCAAAGTTTTTGACGTATATTGAACAGATCTTAAAATTATTCATAATTCCTGCTTTAATTGGTAATATGAGTTAGCTGTTTTCACAGAAAGAACAAAGCCTCTCTTTTTGCCACATTACATTTTGTTAGAAAATCTGCTATCTAGTAATAGTAAATATTATAGAGTAAATTCAGTGACACTTCACAATAAGGTTAGCTCAGGGTCATTCAGTAATATTAACAGACACAATGTTTGATTTTAATGATGTATTAGTAAATGTTGAAATTAATATTATTAATAAATGATTTAGATTTTTTTTTTCTTGTTAGTTCATGTTATCTAATGTAGTTAACTAATGTTAACAAATGAGAGATTGTTGTGAAATGACCGCAAATTCTTTTTCAGACACTACATTTTTTTTTTTTTTTTG